CGGGAGCCGGGGACGGCTCCGGGAAAATAAAACCGCATTAAACGTGGCCAGAAGGGGTGCGGCTGCGGAGCCGACCCTGGGTCTGTGCACTGCCAGGGCCCTGCTGCTGCGGGAGTGAAAAGCACCCGCAGCGCCACCTCGGGCAGGGCAGCGCTATCGAATATGACACAGACACAGTTTAAGAAAAAATTTACTAATCCATTAGTACTTCTGCCAATATTGCAACAAATGTGAAAGGCAAACACCGTTACAGTTTAGAAAAAACAAGTTTTATACAATTAAAATATTAAACAAATCTCAAAAAAAAAGTGGCTGAGTAATAAGCCTGGAATTTCACATCCAGTATTAGCACCTACAGTACCACCAAAAGCCAAAACACTCGATCCATTCTGCGTAAGTCTTCTCCTAAATTCTTGAATTCCTTCTACAATTGGACAATGACGCTCACAACCTAAACCAGGACATCCTTGCTTTGATAAGGGAATAGGATAAGAGAAAAATATTAAGCCAGCTTGGTTTGTAGGAATTTTACTTTTGCAGGTATTGCTGAGGAATGTTGATGCGTGGGGGGATACTAAATAATGCACAGTTCTACTTTTCAATCGTGTGCCAGCAGATAGAATTAAGAAACCATCTTACACAACATCTAACAGTTTGTCAAATCAATGTTCTCCTATAAATTATATATAATAAATCCATAAAGAAACAGTTTTACACCACATATTTATCAGAGTAGGGTAGAGAATCGTTACATTTATTGGTTCAGCATCCATTTTACTGTACTTACTGTTTTATGAATGAATAGACCCCCCTCTTCTGGTGAGCATTGACAGATGCAATAACAGCGCAGATACAGTAGTAGAAAAAACACCAGTATGAAAGTCCAGCTATTCCTTCCCCTTCTAGGAACAACCAAAACATTAAAACAAACAGCACTTTGCCTTCTGGTTTTCCACAAGAATCAGCACAGGAAACATAAAATGCTCGTTGCCTTGAGTCACTTCTTGCCAGGCAGAGGCACCGGGTATCCTCTCACTCCAATACTGAACTGGAGGGAAGGCCTTGCTTCTGGAAAATTCCCAACTCGGACTTGTAGCTTTCCAAAGCCCGATTGATGTACAGAAGGGTTTAAGAACTAGGGAGGAAGAGCACTGCACTTATGTGACTAAAACTAGACTTCTGTTTCACTAAGTGCCCCATTTCTTTCAGAAGAGTACGTAGCTTTACCACTTCTGCTTTTTCTTGAAAAAAGAAAACCAAAACTAAAAAGTGATCTCATTGCTTAAAAGTTTGCCACAAAATGGATGCTGACCAGCTAGGTCATCCCATGTGGAGCAGTTTTAGGAAGTTAGTCCTTGTAGTAGATGGCACTGTGGATCTGGCAGCAGAGAAAGGAATGATGCTCTAAAGTAGGAGGTAGGGGAACTTTGATACAGCAAGTCCACTGTTGAGCTATCTGCTAGAAAAGAAGTTTCATATTATTAGAAGCTATTACTAAATAAAACCAATCAAACCCTACACAGACCTTCACACAGCTATGTCGTCTTATCTTAGGAGGTATGGAGCAGGAACGGTCAGGTTACCACGTGCTGTGGTCAGAGTAGCAGGAACAGAAGCAAACACTCTGGATTTCACTTGTCTGACGGGAAATAAAGACCTTCATTACTTACATTCTGCATAGCAAACAAATATTTCCCTTCTCTTTCCTGCACACATTGGCAATAACCTAGACTTAGACTACCATCCCAGGATCTGCAGAGTACCTAAGACAAGGGAGCCAGTTCAAATTTGAGGTTTCAAAAGCAAAGCTTGATGAAAGTTCAGTAGGTCCAGTGAGAGTAATTTTGCAGTTCTAGACTGCATGCAATTAGCATGCAATTACCTTTATTTTAGACTCTCTCAAGTACACCAAGAACTCTTTTCACTTTGTGACCCTGACACACAGAATCATGAAAACTAAGTGCCTTTCAGCAAATTATTCCAGTTAAAGCTACCAAAGCCAGAGGTTGCTGGCCACTCTTAACTGAAAGCATCACAGGTAAAGATACCAAAGTGAGAATTGCAACAGCATCCAGCTGAAAAACTGCAGTAAAAGGTTTCTGTATGCTAAAACATTCAGGGACAGTCACATGAAGATTTTTCCACTTAAAACTTTTGGGTAGGGTAAGATCTTAAATACAGTAGCAGATCTCAGAGTTCCTCTGAATTTTCAAAGATGTTGCAGAGACCATTAGGAGTCCTTAGATAACACCACCTAATCCTGGTCATATTCTCTATCACTATAGACGACAGAAAAACAGCCCACATTTTGTAGAGCCCACGTAGGCCACATTCATGAACAGATCATCAGGCTCCAAATGACTAGGACAGCATGAATACCTTATAAAGCTCCAGTTCCAGATCAGGTTTACTTGGGTACTCATACTGCTTTCAAAACAGCTATTTTACTGACCACAGATATTTGCAATTCATCAAACTATCCTGAACTTCATGATACAAGTCTTTCATTTTAGAAATTTCAGTTGCTTGAACACTGGCAGAACTAGCTTTTATGTAATTTCTCAAAACCCACATCACCTAGGAAAACATTCTGCAATAACTGCTGTGACATGAGTCACGACAAGTGGCTTGTGCCAAATATAAGCAGATGCAGTTCATAATACACAAACTTATTGCAATAGCAGAACACAAGTGCCATGCAATACAACAGATTCCCAAGTGCTAATAACCAGATAAAGAAGGATATTTTGAGACAGAATTGGCATCTACAAGTGATGCCAAGTTACAAGCCAGACTGGTTTAGAAACAGGTATGCATCAGCAAGAATCTTCACCTTTTTGCTTTACTGGTACTTCTCGTCATTGTTTGCTCCAGGTTGTAGAAGATTAATCTGGTTTACATGCACTGTAAATATGGGTCAATCATAAGAAGACTACCAAAAGAGAAATCTTAGAGACATGTAGCAGAGGCAGGTTAGAAAAAGCACTGAAAGAATTTAGTAACTTGCATTCTCCCTTTAGGCTGTGTAAATTTGACTCTTAGAATATGCCATATTCCAAGATACAGGACAGCAGATAAAATATTCTGTACTGATACAGTATCTTATCAAATGTTTCTGAGCAGAAAGGGTTGGTAGTATCCCACCACTGGGCACATGAAACCAAAGTGTCACCCCAGGCAACACTAATTCACTGTTCGGGCCCTTCTGGAACAGAAGAGATGCTGTTCAACAGGATTAAGAAGTGAATCTCCTATATACTTAGAACCAAGTAACTAAAATGTCATTACTCAGATCAATTTGTTCGGGATTCTGGGGCTAATAATATTGACTTCTGGGCAAAATACAAGAGGATCTTTAATATCTGTGATTATGACCTTGATTTCACAACTGCTTGAAACGCAGCAGCTTTTAAAATAGACCCTGATCTGAGGTACCACAGAAAACGTTTGAAAGGAAAAGCTGTCTCCTTCACAGCAGTATTGGAAGAGCAGGTGCAAGTATAGCACCATTAGTGATTTTTCTTGAGTATTTCTCTCATACTACTAGTATGAAAACTGTCTGGAAATCCAAAATAAGCATTTAAATGGTGACTTTTTTTACATCGAGATTTAAGGGTTAGTCTTAAATTTATCTGCTCAGAACATTATGACAGAAAGGCCTCACAAGAATAATATTTAAAAAAAAAAAAAAAAGATTCTTTTATCTACAGAACAGAGAACAATTTTGGACACAATACAGCACAAGTTAAGTTTATGCATAATTACACAACCAAGACCTGAATTTCTCTAAATGTAAATCTGGTATCTGTATTAACATTCAGTGGCATAATGCCAAGTATCGATAGCTCTACTTGGTATCTACTTAGTCTACACAAGATTTATATGAGCAGCCTTTGATTACATACAGTGGCGGGACAAATACTCTCAGTATGACAGAATCCACCCCTCTCAGCACATAAAACAGTTTGAGATTGATCCAGTATAATGTTAACATTTACCTGAGACTCCACAGTTTTATCTTCCACTGGTCATACCTCTGTCTTCATAAATGGTAATTTCAATCTGCACAGAAACTTTGTTAGGGAAACATACTATAAAATGATTATGAAAACATAACAAAAGAAAGGGCAGAAAAACATTAAGATATTAGAACCTTCAATCTTTCTGCCTTCATATCTGATGTTCAAAGGCAGTTGCAGAGCTGCAAAGCAAACAGAACAGTACACATACGAGATGGGTGAGATCAGTGTCCAGCCCAGGACTGTTCTGACAGGACCACAAGATGCTGCGTGTGGAGGCTCTGCAAGCCTTCTGCCTCCTGTCAAACGTCAGGGAAGGCTGTGCACTAGGCAAAGGTTCTACAGTTCAGCTATAAGTCACTAACCAAACTGAAAATGCTTTTACTCAAGTTGAATGTTTTTTTTTTCCCCAAGAAGCGTATGCACAGAAAAATGCGGAAAACATTGAGAATAACAGTCATGCAGGCAACAGCTATAAGCTATTTAGACAAATACAAAGATAGCCCAACTGCAAGGAATTAGCCTCAGCATGCATTTAATTGGCATTCTGTGTTTCAGGTTGCTTTGGTTTCAATATTCTCAAAAAATTATACACGTTACTCATTCTACCCTGAGATTTGCTGTGCAAGTGTGTACTGTTCACAAACAACAGAGTAACACGACTAATCACACACTCTGCTGTATCACAGACCAACCACGACCAGAGGGTGACACGCTGAGACAGCATCATGGGTGGACAAACCAGGAGACAATCAGAAAGCCACAGAAGGATACAACTCTTAGTCCTCTTTCAATGGGGTCTGTCAGAAGGAGGCCCTGAGGAGCATAGATCTTCTCATTTTGTTCCTGAATGAACTTGGCGATTTTCTTTAGAACCTGGTAA